ATTTTGTTCTGTTCTGTATTTTTGTTTGTAGTCCATGTTTGCATTTCAGTTCGCGTAAATTATATCTGATTTATGAATACAATGCAATGTCTGGACACAGCCTAATTATAATGTTATAACGAGCATCTGTCCAAAATTGCTTTAACAAATGTCATAGGTCATTACTGAAGTCTCGTGCCACGCGCGTGAAAATACTGGACATGGTGAAAAATGATATCTTAATTCATGCTGGTCAGTAGAAAATTATACTGGACATTCAGTATTAACAAGAAACTTTCCATTTATCAAATCAAAGACTTTCTTTGTTCTTTTTTTTTCTTAAGCATGATGAGTTATTGGGGGTCAGTTAATGCAAACAAAAAAGGAATCTTAATGGAATTTTCATTAAGACAAGGTCTAAGATACTTGTATAAAATAATCTTGTCGCTGCATAAATTAGAGTATGTTTGAAGTGAAGAAAAATCATTTCGGCAATACGAAACAGTAACTTGTCACATACGAAGCTAAGTAGAAACTTCCTATACACGTAACACTTGTTGCTTAGTATATTCTTAACACACAAAATGTTTTTGTTACGCTAAATACTTAAATGAACTTGTCCGTCTTTTAATCTGGTCAAAAATTAAACCTTTTAGCGTAAATTTCAAAACATGTACTGACTGAATAGAGAATAACACAGACTATGATCATGGTCTTCACTGTACACATGGGTTGAATAAGTTGCCGCAAGAAATATTTTCTATGATTTATAGTTTATAGTTTAATAATATTTTATTGTACATACGTATATACATACAACATAGGTCCTTCCCTGAGGTTAGTCAAAATTAAGCTTAAACTATTTTGAATGTAATTTAAATTTCTCAAATTAATGGCATCAATATCTATTTCCCGTCATATAAATCTATACAACTGGTAAACAAAGCAATATATCTTCCAATCATTCAAATAAATACAGAATATTTGCTACACATATGACAGACAAGTGGCTAAATGAACTGGACAGCGGGAAGATATAAGGTTTCCAAAGTTCATTTCATCATTACATTAAAAAGACGGATTTTCAATATTATTCTTTTTGATATTTGTGTTTTAGAGATATGGTGTTTAATACACAGTAACGCCAGATATTATTCGCCTTAAATGTCTTTGAAATAAGAATATTACAAAACAGAACAAGGCATGCGAGTAGATACAGAACAATTATTACATGCCACGTGATCATAATTACGCAAAAATTCAGAATGAAGAGAAAAATATTATTTCAAAGTGGATGATAAGATAAGATACTAGATAATATATAAACTAACTAAAAATGTACTAAAAATACTCTTGGCAGCTTCATGGAATGTTTTAACTAGTGAGTACTAAGCGCGATCGAAATAGGCTAAAAGCCTTTTAACATTTCTTTCATTACAATCAAGCAGATATTTTTTTTGATAAATTTAACATAAAAGTATTTTTTGTTGGTTTCTGTCTACATGTACCACATCACTGTATCAAAACAGAATCAAACAGAATTGAAAACAACCAATAAAGTTATTGTCAACCTTAGTGCGATATTTTAATTATATTATTTTTTCAATTCGGGAAACGAATTAATACGCTATCTCGTTCTGTTAATAATACGGTGTCCAGAGAACGCTATTCGATTTTTATGTGTTTATAATGCATATGGCCATTAATGGATTCCCTGACCTTAAAGTAAACTTTGAGCATTGGACATTATACAGTCAGATCTATATATCATTCGGAATATCTTCTATTTTTATACCATTAACAATGATTTAGTACAATGTAGTAACAAACTAACAAGACAGGCAAAGGTAAATAACCACATTGATACATATAGATACATTGTTATATCGATAATGTGTTATGATTCGTCGGATTTTATGCTAGAAGGAAAAGGAAAACCGTATCCCCTTAGGAATCTGGCGGCCAGTACTGACCTAAAGCAGTCCGCACTGTGTAACCATTTTCTGCACAGCTTTAGATATTTAGTGTGGTAAATGTTAAATAAAATAAAAAATATCACAATAATATACTTACTTTAAAGGAGTTTTGTTTGAACTGATTAAATTGTTATCAAACTCAGCTAAAACTTCATACATTTGAAAGGTAATGCATACAGTGTACATTTCTAGTATTGATATAATTGCTGCAATAAGATAATCATGGTACAGTAGTGGAAATGACAAAATGTAAATAAAAACAACTACATCTAACATCGGTGCATGTACATAAACAACAACAATAATATTAATAATGATAACTTATAGGTGACGGTAAATCTTTAGTTTTTAAGCTTAAAAATAAATCGGCCTGGAAATTGATGTTTATGCAATTATCTGACTTGTGTATTTTACAAGGCTTTATCATTATTATTATTCCTTTATCCTACTTTAATACTAGTATAATGTACCGTGGGCTAACACATTTGTCTCCCTCTAGTTTTAGATTGTAACTGCGTAATAAGTTAAATGGAACACCGCCGTAGTAATCTTATGCTTAATCAAATTCAGATTAACATCCGAGTTAAAGAAATTGCATTTACGGACCAAAATTAAAAATCTCTATGCATGATGTCCTAAATAGTTGGTCCAATTCACAAACGAATTATTTGACTCAAAACAGTCATGTACTTTTAAAATGCGTGTCTTTTATCTAGTTCGTTTTCAAGTGTTATGAGTTTCTAAATTATCTTAATCTACTTTCATCAATCTGACATAATTCCTGAACTCTGAAACATTTAGTACATAGAATCGTGAGAGAATTATTCGGACCTATTTTTCATGGGCGAATTTGAAATATACATGGAAATTATTTGTTTAAATCTTTACATAATTTATAAGATATAATTATGTAAATACAGATTTGTTTACAGTACATGTTACTGCCTACGTCAAGATGGTATATTATGACCTAGCTACTTGACCGATCAGCTGGTCACCTCGGACTGACCTTAGCTGAAATGTAAATATAGTAAATCTACGTAGCATGCGGATAAATATTTGTGGTTAACTCGCATCTTAGGTCCGAATGTTGCATGCAATCAATATAAAGGATATTTGAGAGGCTGGGACAATATTTAATTAATTGACCTACCTGACATATTAATCCGCCATTAACAATATGTTAAATCCGAAAATTAGCGGGAATTCCGCTGTGTAATTAAGCGTACTTAACAGAAAAGTCGTCTGCCACTGAATTTTCACTGTCCGAAAATAGTACTGAATTGTTAGTGGTATTGGTGCATCGTTTTCGATTCATTTTCGAAATGAGTGACCGCGGGCTGGAGAGGTCAAGTCAAGAAATTACATAAGACGTCTGTGCAACGGGGAACAATGACCCAGTGGCCGATGTCACGAGGTTCTGACGGGCAAATATCAGAGAAAAATATGAGTTGTTTCCAGTGGAGCTACGGTAATTGTGATAGCTACATTTCCGCAATTAAATTGTTTTCAAGTCTTCAAATTTCAGACAGGTAACATTTTTCTATATGATTATCAAACTGGTGGGAACGGTTTGCGCCATTTTGAGACTATAAACGCCTGGATGTATAAGGGTGTTTCTAAATATAAGAAAATAATTGTATTTTCAGCGTAACGAAAGTAGTTCTTGATGTGAAATTGTGTTTTTCTTTTAAAGATTTTTTTCTACAGAAAACTCATATTAACAATCTCCTTACAAAGTCAATGGTTATAAATTGAAATAAGTATAAATTAAGCTTGAAGATATGGTAAACGGAAAAAGGGATCGTCAACCCTTGAAGATATACGTACATTGTAGAGTATATGAAACGAATTTAAGAAATATTTTAAGAATAATGTATGAACAACACTATAAATTAATGACTTCGTTTGTTTCTGATACCAAGAGACAATTCAAATTTGGGACTCATTCCGCCTTAACTCTGTAACGTTTATGTAAAGAGTTACTAATGCTTTAATAAAACGTTAGTATAATCTGGGATAAATACTGTCTTGATTTCATTTATAAAATTTCAATGAAACATGTTCACGGTGTATGTAATAGTGCAAGAGGTAATTCAAATCTTCGAATAAACGAGTTTAACCATTTTTCATTTACATTTCCATGAGAACAATCCAATAGTGTTCTCAGGTGAAATGATCACAACAGAGTTGTCTTTCGTACTTCACAATGAACTTAACAAGTTCTGTAAAACTTCCGAATGAGTGGTGATGAAATTTCGAGGTCATGAATTGCCAAGGGACATTCGATTCTTTCATGTGAGTAAGCTTCCGTTCCACAAAGGTGCCATCAGTATCATAAATAATACGAGGAGGAATTGTCGACAGTAAAGCTGGAAAGTTACCATTATAATCAAAGCACAGAAAGCGCTGAATTTGTTTGGGTCTCAGAAAAGTGAAGGTTGTGAGATTATAAACCAACTTGTTTTTGTATAGTGCCACCAATGCTTTCAAGCTTTTTAATTGTAGTAAATTGGCTATAAGACTAATTGCAACACTGATATTCAATCCAATGTTTATTTGACTTAAACCATTTGAAAAAAACGAGTTGCCTTAACTGGGATTTGAACTCCAGACCTCTCGCTTCCTAAGCGAGTGCGCAAACCCCTCGGCCACGGTGAATTTATATGTTAACGGCTTGAAGAAAACCAGGGTTTGTAACGACGCTAACTGTGGTTTAACAAAGATGCAAATAATCATGGAGCTTACTATAAGCATGTATATCTATAATGAATAAGTTAATATTAGAAATCTTCGACCATTCGGGAATTATTTTGCTTGAAAATTAATGCGCCTGTCATTTGACCATCTTTACGCAGTGATCTCCCCTGATTTTTTCGGCGTTAGTGTTCATATAAAGGGAAGTAACCGCTTCAAAAAAGCGGACTACTTTCGGCATTTGCAATTAACAGCATTAGAGTCTGAAATTTCGCTACCATTATTTGTTTGGTCTGACGACCCAAACAAATAAAAATGAATCAAAAATAATAAAAAAGTCAAATGACATAAGTTAATCATTTTTATTAAACAAGTATATATGAAAAAGCGCTGTACACCAGATATCTATATTTATATAACATATAATACATAAAGTTATAACCATTATATAAGACAGAGCACGAAAATTTGTTAACCTATCTATAAGTACATAAACAGTATTAATAAATTGTATAATAATTATGAAACACATTGGTCAAAAGAGAAATGCTTTTATTTAACCATGAACCTGTTAGAACTACAGAAAGTGATTATCATTTTCCCGCCAGAATAGAGCCAGGCCAGAGGTGCAACTTTGTGCAGTCTGAACAAGGCCCATGCTCTTGGTAGCCCGATTTTTATATTCTGTTAATGAAATCCCTTTAACTTTTAATGGATTGTTCCAAATTAAAAGAAGGACCAATCCATTACACAAATTTAACAGGTAAAGGGTTAACTGAGACCTTTAATATAATGTAATTAAGGGACTTGTTCAATCAATTAAGAACAAAATCAACTATACCTCACGTCAATTAGCCTTAATTTGACCTTGACAATAAATATATATACACAAATATTATATGAAAATGCATTTTATATTAAGATTAGTTGAGATATTATTTATTTAAACTGGAGTGGTATACAAGAAAGTTTGTAGCATAAATGACAATTTAAAACACTCTAAAATCTTGTATTCTGGAATTAGACAGATGTCATATGAGGGAACAAGCCTTGGGGGTCCACTTGGTTGAGAGGCAGACACCTCTACCACTAGGCCACAATTCCTTAACAAGTTCTGAATAAGCCAGTGAAGAAGAAGAATACTGTATAATACAAACCATTTCTTAAAAGCTTGTTTTATAATGTTCTTCATATATTATTTATAAAGCACATAGAAACAATTAACATATTCAAAAGCTATCAGTCTATCTAGTTTTTAAAGCATTATAGTTATGAAATAATAAACTCTTATAAACATGTTAATAGTAAAGGAATAATATCAACAATATTGCAAAGATGTTTATTACACAGTTTATAAAATTGTATAGAGTGAAAAAGATTGACAAGTCTTTATGCAAAAAGTATAAAACATATGTTTTCACAAGGAAAAGTTTTGTTTAAAGATGGTACAGTGCTTGTGGCAACTAAATCTACCTATACACCAGTGCAGACCATGCTGTGCCCCTCAATCATGGTTCGCACTGTGCACTATTGATTCGGGAAATATTTCAAATATTTCAAAATTTCCCCAAAAAATGATCAATGTTCCACATTTAAAAGGTAGGAAAGTCCAGTTTAGACATTTAGCGTGGTAAGGGTTGCATTAAAAAGAAGGTGTAACTAATATAGTATCACCACTAATCTAAAGCCTTAAGCCATTAAACAGCACACAAAACTATTATTATATAATAATATTTAGTTTCTAACACAATGCAATGTCATTTGTAAGCTTGTAAACTTGGTTGAAGGAATGAACTTCAGTTTTGATAATGCTATTATGCAAACACTATCTATCTATGAGGCATTAATATTGTCTTGACAGGTCCATGACCTTAACCTTTGTCCTAAAGTAATAAAATGAATACAGGCACCTTATATATAGACCAATTTGCAAATAAGAAAAAACTAGATTTGTATCAAATAATTTTGAATATTACTAATTAATTGAACAATATGACATTGACCTTCAATCAAAAGACCTTTGACCTTCAACCAAAAGAACATATAATTAAATGCATAAAAAACAAATGTTTAGCAAATATATATAAGTATAAACAATGAAGAACACATGGATTTCCAGAAAGTTAACAATAATAAATAACTATATAAAATATTAACAAACAATGGAATGCATTATATGACATTATGCACACTGCAGTCAACGCAGTACCTGAAAGAAAGTTCAGCAACCAAATGTTATGCTATGATTAACTTGATTGAAATCGTTCACAAAACAGCTCAAGTTCTAAAATTTAACTTTTGTGATAAAACAAAAATCAAGCAGATCTGGAATGTCATTTGGTGAAACTTGCATAAATGAACATACAGACACTGAAAATTTTTCTTGGAAGAATTATGTTTTATACCGATGGAAGTTTCTTTCAAATCAATCAATCAATCATCAATCAATCAATCAATCAATCAAACACACAAATGCTTGCTGGACGAATAGATATCTTAACAATTATAACCTGTCTGTAATAAAACAATTGAAAGACATTATAGAAGATATTCGAAGAACAAAAAAAAACAACAACAGATAAAAAGAATAACTTTTAACAAAAAAGAAAAAAATAGAATTTAATAAAAAGATTAGAAAACTTATACTTTCTGAATACATGTAAAATATATACATCATATTACCATAAACTATGTAAATTGAGAACAAACAAAAAAAAGTTCAACAAACAAAAATAAACAAGTGGATTTAAACATACCCCTCTTAGAATTTTCCAGAGACTTTTATTACTGTTATAGTAAGCTCCATGAGTGTACTGATATTAAAACTCAATATTCAAGGCAAAAACATTTTTTTATAAGTTCTTTTTTCTTTCTAGTTTTCTAAATAAAAGTTAAATAATACACTACATAATGTTAGCCATTTCTACAGATCATTACTGGAACCAAAAATGATTTGTTAAATTTAATTGTTTTCTTTTCTGGATCTTTTTATATAAATAAACAATAGGCCACAAGATCTTAGGCATGCTAGTAAAAGAATTATAGTGTAAGAAAAATTGTTTGATTAATGCAATGGTCACTGACACTAAATTTTTGTTTAAAATTTAACAAAAAACAAAAAAATAAGTATTTAAATTCATTTATCTTACAAATCAACAGAAAACAATGTATAAGAGATTCAAAAACAAAATTAATTGCAAAATAAGAACAAATTATTAGGAGTACTGGCCAAAATTTCATACATATATAGATATATGTTCAAGTGATCTAACAACTATAAATAGAAAAGGGGATGTAACTGTGATAAAATTAATATGTATGATTTAAAAGGTTGTCTCCCTTATCAAATACCATTCTCAATTTTTATACACAATTTTCACTGACTAAAATTTATAAATTATCACTACAAATAATGCTTTGCAATGAAAAAACTTTTTAATATATATAAAAAAAGAAAATATTATCTGCCAAACTTTTATGTTGAGGCCATTTCTTTAAACAAATGAAATAAAATGGTTAAATATTTGAATATAATGAAGAAATAATAGGATTTAAATATGACATGCATAAGGATTTCTGATTTTAAAGGTCAGAGGGCAACATATTCACATGCCAATTTTAATATTTGGTCATAAAGAACATACATAAGTAAGTTTATGTTTTAACATTTTTCAGTTCACATAATTATATATTGCTACACAATCTGTAACACAACCACTAATAATGGCCTGTTAAGTATTGATACAAGTCTTAGTATACATGACTGTATTTTCCAACAATAGACTGTTTTTCATTGATACATTTTCCACTTCTTTATCATTTTCGATAATTATCTATTTTTTTAAAGAGATGTTTGATTATTTCAAGACAACTTCTACACATTAGTTCTCCACATATTTCATGCCTGCTCTCTATTCTTACCCACAATATTTTGAGTGTAGATTCACTGTTCCTTAAACAAGTATACCATTTTCAGTTTAGATTAATTATTATAAAAGCTTGGATCTTATTACAGCTTCCCTCTGCAATCTGGAACTAACCAGTACAAGTATCAAATGAAGTAAACATGGCAGTGACTACTGTAGTGCTCCAACTATTAACCTGACAATCCAAGTGTTGAAACACAGACACTTAAACCACTAGGCCACTCCTCCTTAGTACTTTTCATTTTTTTGCACAACAAATTGCATTTTACTGTGAACTGGTATGTATTATGCCATTCCAAATAAACTAAATAAACAGGCTCAATGAGAGAACACATTTTTTCACTCTATACTTTGTTTGTTTGTTTTTTCAGTATTTTCTTTTATCCATATTTGGTCGCAGAATGAGAGCGCCATCTATCCAGAAATTTGGTCGGTCAAGCATTGCTTGCCACATTGACATTTCTTCACCTCTTGCATCCATCCAATCCACTTGTTTGCCACCACTTACACCTAAATATACAAATAATATATATAACAATATTTTATTATTTTAATATATCCAACTGTTTACACCTTTACAAGATGAATTTCTTAAATGAATTTAAAAGCTATGGCCCTATTATGAGTTTTAAGTATGTACTGATTTGCAACATTTACTACTATACATTGATTTACAGTATTGTAATATTTGACTTGTTTTAAAATCAGTCTCAGAGATTTGATAAAGAAAGTCCAACAAGTTTGTCAACTTTTCATGAAGTGCTAAAATATTATGTGCACTCATTACATTGGCAGTGTATAAATCACTGCACCTTTAGCACAAAGTAACATGTCCTCACTACTAGATTTACATAATTATTTATATATAAAAATAAAAGCGGTAAAGACTTTTACATAACATTTGAGCAGGCAAATCTCAATTTGGTCATATGATATTCAAGTTAGTCTGCATGGAAATATGTCAGAAAGATTATCAAGCAGTTTCACAAGGATTGTATTTAGTGCTAATTCAAACCAGACAATAATTTTATTATCAAATAACCTCAACTCAATCAAACTTAATTTTTATTCACGAAAATCACGGGCTTTGATTAATTAGTAAATTAAAGGCTGTGACAAATATACATAATTATTTAACACGGTGAAAGTAACGGTATACACGACTTTTTGATTCTATATATAAAGCAAAAGATTTTAGAAAATTTACCCGATCCTAGATTGAGCCGAACTCCACCAAGAAAATCATTACTAGCAAGTTTCTCATAATCCCATATAGTTAGTTCAAGACATCTCTCTCGTAATTCTGTCAATGTGACGTCCTCAAATATAAACGTATGATTCCAAACTGGGCTACAATCTTTCTTTACTACGGCAGTTTTCTGTTTACTACTCTTGTGGCGTTCTGGTAACAAATACCTAGAAATAATACAATGTTAAAATTGTTAATGGTTCAAAATCTAATAAACGATATGTTCTGTTCAAAAGATTTGAAAATATTACTGATATCAACTCAGGCATGTACGGTAAAACAAAAACAAAAATAGGCTATTTAAAAGATAATATTAAAGAAATAAACTAAAAATTAAATTGAAAATTGATATCAAGTGTGATTCTTAGCCTAATTTTATTTAGAAGCATTCAAATGTTTTTCGATTCTACTTCATTTTGTACAATAAAAATAATTATTGAGAAACACAGAGTGAATCCGATCTTAAATTTTGCATACAAGTTATCAGTTATGTGCTAAATCAAATGGTATTATTATTATATTCTCAAATAAAAATTGTATACTGTCATGTCAAATATTCTCAGTCCTTTTAACAATTACTGAGTTATAGTTTGTAATGATGTCAATTTATTCAAATACATTGTCTATGTTGGTAATAAATATTACAAGCACTTCTATAAGAAAATTGGGAATAAATGTTTTATGTTAATAATTATGCTAGTGCTTAATTTCAAATTGTACTTAAATTTAATCATGTTTTATGCTGTTATAAATAAAAAGTGTGTACATTTCATTGGATTGAAGAAATTTTAAGATAATGACCACTTGACAAAGGGAGGTAACTATTTTTCCTCTGTGTACCATCTACAACAAAGAGTTGTCTACCTTAGACTGTCCATTATATCAAGATGTATGTAAATAAGCCAAAAGTATTCTAGTCAGACTAAACAGATGTGCAGGCTGGTGGCCTGGCTCTATACTGGTGGCTAAGGCTATCACATTTGGTTCGGTTAAGTCAGGTTAAGCTTTCAGTTCTCATTTTCTGTGCAGTCCAGCCAGATTTGAAATTGATTTACTACTTTTTCCAAATAATTATAGTGATCACTTGAATAAATGAAAAGCTGTCCAAAATTCAAAGAAAGGCTTCAGTTCATTCATTTAAACCCCTCAAATTTATATGTGATTGGAGAACAAGTTCCAAACAAATGTTTTTCTAATTATTTTGTACTAAATGTCACCAATTCTTAAAATTTAACAAAAAAATGTTATGGCTGATAACAATCTAGTCACACACAATAAATAATTGATAGATCCCTACTGTGACCTTTGATTTGAATAGATTTAACCACAAGCATAAACATGTGCTCTTTAGTTAACAAATATGTTGTGGTGAAACTCTTATTGTATCCACTAATCTGATAATTAGAATTGGACAGATCAGGAATCTATGCATTGTTAAACAACTATAAAAATTTATTAATACAGTCATAATCTTAAAGTCTTACCCTTTACAGAATGGATCTGAAAATCCATTGGACTTAACAGCAGTAAGATTACGAGCTTCTTTAACCATGACCTGTAACTGACCTTTCCCACTATCTTTCTTCTGTTTACCTGAAATTACATAGTTTAATCAGCATAATTTACAAGGTGACACCACAATCTTTCTTCTGTTCACCTGAAATTAAATAAGTTTCATCTGCATAATTTATGACAATAACAAAATTGCCCTTATACAGTAATTTATGACAATAACAAAATTGCCATTATACAGGTATATATATATGTCCTTTTAATATGAAATTATTAATTTCCAACATAATCTAACAGATATAGGTATTGTTGTTTTGGCCCTTTATGCAAAATATAAATAATCCAGTGTGTTGAATGAAATTTTTAACTTACAACATAATTTAACAAAGGCAATGAAATGTTGGTATTATTGCAAAATATAATAATAAACAATCCATTGTCTGCAAACCATATAGAATTGCTGCTACAATTCTCTTTGTTTTAACCCTTGTCATGCATAAAATCTTAAATAGATTCCACCATCTTTCAATCTAAACAAAACCAATAATCATTTTAAAGGGAAATTTTAATTGGGTTGTTGTTGGGGCGTACTCTTCTGTACTAAAAATGAAAACAAAAGCTAAACTAAATATTAAAATTGACTGAAATATCGTTTTAACACAAAATATAGATCTATGCTTTTTATTTTAGAAAACAGAACCTTTTTCACATATACTGAACCAAAAATGAAACTTTCGCAAAGTATGTGCCAGTTGTTCAAGGGTACCACTTAGATGTACACACTTATATACATATAGTAGCTTGTAAAACTCGTTTTGTTTGCAAAATCGATCAGCTTATCCCTATATAAAAGCCCGATATGTTTATTCAACATAAAAATCGAGTTTCAAAAGGATTGAAAAACTGTACTAACATATCTACATTCAAACTTGGAAAAAGTTTCTTTTTTGTTTCAGTATATATACTGTTGAAACATTGTCATACGGTTGTATAGGAATGTTTGCCATGCATTGATCACATACAATAATATTTCTTTGATTTATGTATGTAGCCATATAATAACCATAAAATCCTTTTCATCGACAGTTCAAATCATTGATCAATGAAGGTATCAAGCAGCAACACGTACCTCTAAATTTTCAGCACAAGCAATCAAAAAGCGTAATTTCATAACATATTACATATAACAATTAAAACAAGCATGGGAATGGCTCATGAATTTATAAGTGATTTCCTTACATGAAAGACACAAATGCAAAAAAACCCCAGATTTACGGTGATCGTTTGTATGTGATTTCCTGCGGCAAATGCTGGGAAAGCATTCATGTTTTATTCATGATATTTCTGTTTAAGTGCAGTAATTATGATAGTTACCATTAGTAATTATCTACGGATAACTTTCATCCATTGTAAACCTTTACCCCACCAGGGCAGAAAATCACTATTAAAAGACAGTACAACTAATATTGTCAGAATATTTGTCAAGGACAAAATATTCACCTATTAAATTACTCAACTATTCTGTACTTCTACATGCATTTTGTTTTAAAGACAGTCTACTAATTTATGCCAACGTCTGAATTTGTTGGTAGAAATAAGTCACCTTAGACATTGTTCACAGTCTTCACAAAAACCCCTTAGACTATTTTCATTCTACTGGTACCTTGACTTAAAATTAAAATATTCAAAAATGTTTAAAAATTTGAGGTTTCTATGTACCTTATACTCGAGGCTCAAACTCATTAAGAATTAGAGGTTTCTATACATTATACTTTATGCTCCAACTCTAGAATTAGAGGCCTTTTTTACCTAGTAATCTATGCTCAAACTCTAGAATTAGAGGTCCTTAGACCTTATACTAGAACTTTCTTCTCTGAGATAACGTGTGGTTCTCTGATCATTTAACTTAAGAATATGAAGTCACAAAGTCTAACATTTTCCATTATAAGAAAGCATGCAGATTTCAGCTGATTAAACTCAGGAATCAGAGGTCTCTACACCTATCACTTTAATTCCCCTCTCAGGTCAAATTACAAAGTTTTCTTCTGCTGTAACAGGGGGCATGCAGACAGCGGTATAGACTGGAACAAAAATTTAATATTTGATACAGGAGAATGAGTTTAATCTACAAAGCAATCAAATTTGTGAATGGTTTCTGTCTGTGGAATAATTAGATTTGTTTTTGTTTCCATGGTATAAATGTATTTTTAACAGTATTTCCAGTCATTGGTCTCACATATGAATATGCTGGCATAGCCTCTGTTCCTACATTTTGTTCCAACACTAATTCATTTGTCAAAACAAATATAAAATATTTTGATGTAAAAATAAAAAACAACATTCAATATAATTGATATTGTTATAACAATGAAGTCTCTCATAATATTACAAGAATGAAAATATTACAGACTTTACTTAATAGTATTTGCTAAGACTAAATAAACACCAATAGGGCGGACTTTGACATTGTGACCCCAAATAGATCTGAGAAAATCAATCCAGGAAGACAATTCTAAATGTAATGATAAAATGCTTGACTGGAGTGACCAGTGCTGCCTTAAAATTACTATTTATGTATCACCTGCTTAACGTAGCTCTTAATTCCTGCTTTTTTTGCTCTTATAGTTAGGGGAGATCAGGGAAAGGCAGGGTTCGTACAGACATCCAATGCCAAAATTCAAGGACTTTTTAAGCACTATTTAAGCATGTTTTCCCATTTTTTAAGCACATTTGTTGCACATATATCAACACAATCTTCAACCTAAGAAGGATAGTTTATTCACCATTTTTTGTTCAATAAACATTTTTCTGGCCACATATTTAAGGTTGTTTTTTTTAAAGAAGAACGACAAAAGGCGCATCAAAAACAAATTAGTTCAAAACAACTGCAATTTGTCCACTTACTGTTACACTGAGCAAACATTTCATTGATTTTGATACTAAACTGGATCATTCTTTTGATTTTGTTAACTGTTGACTTTTATCTACATAATGTCATTCAAGCACATTTTTAGCAAATTTAAGCACTTATTTAGCACTTTTTAAGCACTTTTCATGAGAGTAATCAAATTTCAGGACTTTTAAGCACTTTTTTACATCTTTAAGCACTTTTTAAGAAAGGAACTCAAATTTAAGCACTTTTTAAGACTGTACTAACCCTGAAAATGCTAAGGTTAGGGCCTTAATTTAGTTTCATTACATTATCATATTACGTTATAATATATCAATAATTCAATAAAATCAGAATTTGCTCTTATCTCCTTCTTTTTCTGTTCTTATAATAAGGGGAGATCAGGTATGGGGGCTTAAAGGTTAGGGTCTAGGTTACAATACATTATTATATTACATTACATTATTACACAATTTTTATTTCTATCAATAATTCAACAAGTTTCAGAATTTGGAAACAAACATCTTTTGTTTAATGTATTCAACTTACCACTTGAGGAAGCACCGAGTTTGTCAGCAGGCACGAATTTTATACACAAACTTAGATCACCCTTGTATACCATCATAGAGGGAGGGGGTGCATCCATCTGAAAAAAAAACAAGAATAATTATTGAACTAATATTATCTACTAATGCCTGCACTCTGTCACCTTACATTAGGTTTGATGTCCAGCATCATTCTTCAGTCCTCTTTTATATTATGGGCATGGCATGTCTTTTTTAGACTTTGCAACAGTTGTTTGTCTATTTTTGTAATGCACATGTCTTTTTGTGACTTTGCAATTGTTTTTTGTCTATTAATGTGCATGTCTTTTTTCAACTTTGGAACAGTTTTTGTCTATTTTTATAATGGGCATGTCTTTTTTGGACTTTGCAACAGTATTGTTTTTTTGTCCATTTTTGTGACAGACATGTCTTTTTTGGATTCTGCAAACAGTTTTTGCTGATCTGTCAAATATTTAAAATGCAAACTGTATGCCATTCAGCCTGCTATATAAATAATTAATATGGATTAACATCAGAAATGCATACCTCCAAAAACTTGAAAATTGGAACTTATTATATTTTGTTAGCTACATGTATATATATATAACTATAAACAGAATACTGAGTAAAGATAATTATCAAATTTTTGTTTAACAGATTGCTGTTATTGTCAGTGTCCAGATTTGTTTATGATATGACCAAGGTCTTTACTGTGGGGATTTTAAGCTTTTTTTATTACTTGAGAAAAGTAACTGACAAAATTAGTAAGTATTCAGTATTTGGTCTACATTCCATATTTTGACATAATATATTAATACATGTTTGTAATCTGGACCAACAAAACATGTTCACACAAATTGCACTTTAAGTGCAGATATGATGATGATGGCCATGTTCTTTTAGAAATTTTCACATTCATCAAGAGGCATTTTACTCCAGTGACTGCCAATTAAAGAGGTATGTTAAATTATAATTGGTATGTCAATATAATTAGTATAAACATAATTGGCATGCAGTAATACTGAAATATGATATTATCCGAGTGTGAAATAATTGGAAATCCAACAGAAGTTTGATTTCACACATTAACTAATTGCTAATCTCTTTAATTAACAAAAAATTCTTTTGTATTTGTCATGGGATTCATTTTTTTTTGCACTGCCAGTAACAAAATTAGAATTTGTTTCAATGGCACTATTATATTTCATATAATTACTGGAATTTCTGTTTGATTTTATGAAATATAATGAAGCACTTTACCCATATAATAGCATATAACACCAGACATTAATTTTATACAATCTTTTGCTATTGATCATTAAATAAATGGATCTTCAATCTAAACACAATGCTGTAATTAAATTTTATCTCTCTTCTGCATCACGGCAAAATGTTTCTTTTCATAGAATCATACCATCCATTTCCTAATCCAAACAAGGCTCTATTTACTGTACTATAATGCTTATTTACTCAATTCTTCAATTCCATTTTACAGATAATTCCATTACATTGTGGCTAGACGTTCTGCATATAAATCTTCATCTTTAATCACCTCGACATTCCCCTGACAGAAAAATGTTTCCTTATAAAATATTATTTTCACAGCACTTATAATATAGGTTATGTGCGACTGTAGGGGGATTTCAGCGTCTCCTTAAAACAGCTATAAATGTAAATGCAGCATATATGCACTGTCATATCAAACACGTTTACTACAGCAATAGTCCTAATCTAAAAGATTAAACGTTTTCCTGCCAAATTACTCACTTTTATATCATTTACTCTGCTTTGAATTTGGCTCTGTCTATGATTTTAACTGCTGAGGTTAGTTTATACAAATTTATTTTAGTTCGATTGTGTTGGAAGAATCTGTTCCAACAAGAATTAGCGATGAATGTAAAGTTTCTTGCTCAAGGAAACAACGGCTTGCCCCCTGACAAGGTTTGAACCAATGCGGTCAGCAATCCTTAGATTACTAGTCTGACGCATTAACCACTTGGCCACGCCACCTCTCAACTGCTGAGTTTCACAAGTGACTTCGACAGTAAATTACAGAGTCTTTGCAACATCTTAGTCATCTTTGCTTAATTTTACAATTTTGACCAATCTAAACAAACTCCAGTTAAAAAACTACGAAAATTATCAAAAATTATTCACAGAAATGGAAACTGGACTTCTTTGAATGAGGTACCTGAAAAATTGATTTAATCTACACCAGGCTGTAGATAAAGTCAACATCTCCATTATTAAGTCAAAAATAGCAGAAAAATCAAACTCAATAATTTATTTTTACATTTTTTATATGGTTCATCTATTTCTTATTCATTATATTCTTGGTTTTAAACTACAGTAAAAACCCGCTTTACGACCACCCCGTTTTCGAGACCAACCCGCTAATACGAACGATTTTTTAAAGACCCGAATTTTTTATTCTTTATTTTAATGGTCGCTAACCCCGATTTTGAGACCACCCCGTTATTACGTAATGCGACCAGTAAATTCAGTCCCATTTCGTAAATTCTGTACATTTGGACACCCATAAATACGACCGCGGGCACTTTCTCACCTTGATATTGACATGCGTGTATATTGCTGAAATCTTTTTGACACGTGATGTAAACAACAGTTGTCCTAGTTTTACGACATTTAACGACATCCAGTTTACGGCAGAGGTCAAGGTTACTTTGTATCAAACCCGGAAATGATCAATAATATTGTCGATAATTTCTTAATTTCACACCTTTAATGTCATAACTGGGGAATTAAAACAACAAAGTATTGAACAGAAAACTTTCAATAAGTTTTTTAGAGGTGTTGCTGCTATCATTATCTCTTTCGTTCCATAATTTTAAACAAAATACGATTAGGTTTTTGAAGTTGTTATTGGCGATGAAAACTGTGAAAATAATTAAAGGTTAATTGTTCCGTGTGCTTTGTAGTAAAATGGTGATTTAATAGAGTAAGTTGTGTCATTCTTTTAATAAGAATGTAAAAATATGTTTGTGTTTAAAGACATTCATAATACATTTTGTACCTCTAAAGAAGTTTAAAAATTTAATAATGTTAAAAAGTAAAAGAAAATAAATGAAAATACAAAAATAATAGTGTATGCTTTATATCTTCTCATTTGAAATAGGTTAGCCCAGAATTAAACATGTGTACAGTACATGGTATCCCTTAATATATTGCCTAGTTTTCTGTTTGGCCAAACTCATTAATGAGACCAACCCGCTATTAAGACCAGATTTGTAAAGTCCCTTCATTGGTCTCATTAGCGAGTTTTTACTGTATTTAACAAACAACTTTCTCAAGTCACTGGCCTTTTGACTGTTTTTGCATGTCAAAATTCAGGTAAAAAAGTTTACCAAATTGAGAAGATCATCACCATTGAATCTGTCCAGCTTTTATTTTACTAGTGAGTCTTTGTGCATGTTTGTTGGAAATAAATATGTTACAACATATTATATTGACCAAGTTTCAGAGTTATCTCTCTAACTAGTCTATAGAAATAATATAATAAAGCAGCTAACTGTTTACTGTAAAATCAGTTATTTTCGCAAGGCTAAAATTTCAGAAACAAAACATTACGGACTAGTTTGACAAATTTAAATATTTCAAATTTTCCTTTCGGTTTTATTAAATTTATATCATACTTTGACACTTAAAACCATTTCTTAAGTGAAAATCTTCAATTTGAGAAGTAAGCAAAATTTAATTCCCTGCGAAAATTTCTAATTTTACAGTACAGGCAGTCAGCAGGCTTCATGATGTTTCATATTGATGGAATAGACATTATGGTAACTATCATAGATAGCACTTTAACAGTCAATCACACTCTGGAGGATTAGTTTTTGATATGTATCAAGACAATATATTAATCGAGATTAATGGGAGAAATTTAGGCATCCAAGACCTAGTGATTATTCCTTCACACAATATGTCTTAAAATGAATAGCAATTATAATTGTTTATAACAGTTTTTGTTGTTGTTGTTTTTTTTTGGTTGGGTTTTATGTCGCACCAACACAGAACTGGTCATACGGCGACTTTCCAGCTTTACTGGTGGACAAAGACCTTAAGTGCCCTTACGTGCATTATTTCAAGCACAAACAGGCACCTGAAGAGAACCACCCTAAGCTAGCTTATCAAACACAATAAAATTTTCTTTTTTTTTAATTCTTTGTTGTTCAATATCTTTACTAAATCAACTGAAACAATAAATTTCATTAAATTTCTGTTTTAATGTCAGCTACCTGACATAAACATGGTCCAATTATTCATAATTTGCTTTATAAACAATTTCTTTAGTCATCAATGCACTACAGTCAAAAGTCTGTCAATTGGGTTAAAACGTAAATAAAAAGTTAATTCTGGAACTCATCCAGTTTAATATGTCTAGATTTAAGATTTGTATTTTTGTAACAATCACTGTTTGAAAATCACTTACCCTTTCCTGTAAAGGATACCATCTTGGAAATGGATCTTCAAATTTGTAGTAATCAAAGTTAATGGTAACTTCACCAAGAAAAACATTGCGACCAAATCTGTCATTATGCCAAACAGTTAACCACAATGTCCGATTCTCTAGCTCACTCTTTGTTAAAGAATACTGAAACAAATATGAATAAAATGTTAAACTGTATTAACTTAAAGTTTTACTGGCATTGATCTCAAGTCAAGGATTCTAAAATTTTAAGTTTATAAAAATCTAACGGAGACTACACACCAGTATTTCTAGACTTATTTTGTATTTAATGTACAAGCAGAATGATGAAGCATTTTCATTATTGTTTACAAAAGCACATCACCACAAGACACTGGACATCACAGAGTTTTGGTTGTGAAAATGTAAATAAGCTGAAATGTACAGTCTTTTTAGCAATTGTGATGATGTCACTTGCCAATAGTGCTTTTCCCTTGTTTATTTGGTTTTATGGCGCACCAACACAGAATAAGTCATATGGCGCATAAACAGAAAAGATGATTTTGGCTAACCTCAGGTGTTACAAACTTCAAAGCAACACCAGGGGCCAAACCTACCTCACCTTCTTGAGCTAAGAGATGCATAGACTTCAGTTATTCAAACCCATTTACTCCCCTCTTACCATCATGCAGGGATAAATGGTGGCAGCAATTCTTATGCCATAACCATTTAAGGCAACCCCTCAGCCACAAGGAGCTGGGCAAGTTTCTCACAACAGAAGTAGAGGTAGAAGTGATATGTCCCTCTTGTCAAATAAACAAAATAATAGATACAAGAGCTATCCGTATTTTTTTTGTAGGGCTATACACCCCACAAACACAGAAGAGGTCATATGGCCACTTTCCAGCTTTACTGAAGGAAAAAGACCTTGATGCAATACATACATGTGAACTTTTTTTGATGATCAAGTGGGAGATTTTACTTCAAAAAGAGGGAGATGTTAGAATTTGCAAAGAACAAAGAAGGAAGTTCTGACTTCAAAAATAGGGAGATTTCTTTAATTTGTGAAAATACCCCTCATTTAAAGGAAAATCTTTGAAAATATAGCCGCAGAAAGGTGGAGTCTCCCGCTAAAAGTGGGAGAGTTCACATGTATGGCAATATTTCAGGCATGAACAGGCACCTGAGTAGAACAACCAACGTTCTGTAAGCTAGCTGAATAGCTTCTTCAGTCTTCACAGGCAAGAATACAAAGTCCCTAGAGGTATTTGAACCCATGGCAGTGAATGGCAAGTGGTTAAAAGACTACCATTTAAACTACAAAACCAATTGGATGCCAAAAATTTTATTTTAAATTTAAGAACAAAATCAAAGAAGCATTTGATTCAGAACCATTACTGTAATTTAACTTGTCCCTAATACCTTAAGTGTTTCATCAAATGTTGGACTGGTAGAATGCTTTTTGACTTTAGTCTTCCTCTTCCCTCCTCTTGTCCTGTCTGGCAACAGGTAGGTTTTCACATAACTGAAAATTATAAAAGCAGTATGTAAAATAAATATAGAATATCATATTGTAGAATGTTTCTGAGGCTTTGTATTTTTGCTATGAGTTAGCGTTGGAAAATGGATATCTTGCAAGACTGAAGATCATGTTCTGAGTAGGTGGCACAACAGTCTGTAAATAGCTCTGTTAGTTCTCAGTGTTTAAATATAATGTCATAATTAGTTTGAATACATGGTGCATGCCAACAATGCTTGCATAGTTAATTACCATATCAGCACTACAGCTACCATGAGACTACTTAAATCAATCAGCAGAACCCCCCCCCCCCCCCTTCACAACCATGTATATACTGAGTTAGTTAAAACAATACCATTTATATTTGTCACTGATCAATAACTCATTATACAATGATCTAAGAAAACAAATCAATCTTTTAATTATTCCGTAAGAAGTGATGAGAATAGTTACCAAGCAGTTAATCAAATTGCAGAAAGACATATAATCAAGTTATCTAACAAATTTCCTATTTTAAGAGGGCTATAAAAACAAAAGATTAAACTACAGAAGTTACAGTTTTCCCCCTGAAACACATGATGCAATGTCTCTGAAATTCAACACTATTGTAACCTTATATCACTTAATATGAGTAAATGACAATATTTAAAGTCTTGTTTTGAATTTCAAACTTTTCCATTGTAAATGTGAAGAAAAATTTGATTAAGAAATGCTAAAATCATAAAAGTATGAATTTGTATGTATATCTTTGACTTTGGGACAGTCCATTTTCAGCTGCAGAAATTTCAATATCAGCTGTCAATTGTATAGAGACTGGTCAGACTATGCCAGTGTGCAGGCTGACTCCATTCGGGCCTTGGACCCTTACCCAGTCAGGACATTTTCTATTAAGCCTTTGCCATCAATTTAGAGCCAGGAGCCAGGTCAAGCTGCACCTCCATTCAGTCTGACCACTGGCTCTATACACTGTTGGTAGATGAACTGACATGTTTTGATATCAAAATCCCTTAAACTTGGAATGCACTGTTCCATATTCAAAACTGGGCATAATCTATTTACATAGATTTAAATTAAAATATACTATGAGATTTAATGATGGCAATTATAAGGCAAGGGGTTTAAATATTGTTGCTTTGATACATACATGTGTTACACAAATTGTGTCAACCAAACAGTTGTAAAAACGTTTTATCGGCCTTAGGAGATTACCTAATGAAATTCTCATTTTCCATATTTTCCAAGAACTTCCTTTAAGGAATGTTTCATGATATAAATAAATCAATTTACAATATGACTAGCCCCTTAATCTTTTGTTATGCACATAATATATGCTTAAATAATCTAGTTTTGTTATGGCACATGGTAAAAAGAGAAACCTGGGACATAGGTAATGAATAATTACAGGAAATGTAATGCAACACTTGGTGATTATATGTAATGCTATGCATAAATTTTTAATGAACGTTAGATCAGATAGCCTAATGTCTGTCTATGGCACTGTCTTAAATTGCTTCTAAATCATTGCCTACAGTAACAGAATTATTACCTTTACTGTAACATTGATAACTTGGGTCTAAAAGTACTCTTAGCCCTAACTATATTATGTAGTGAAGAAAGTATTTTGAATCCTCCAATCCAGGGGTGTATCTTGGTCTTAATTTACATGTAGGCACAACTTCTAGTGGATTTGGGGCATGAACCTCCAACTTCTAGGGGATTTGGGGCATGAAACTCAAACTTCTAGGGGATTCGGGGGCATGGATCTCCCAAGAAAATGTTTGCTCCAGACTGTAAAAGGTGCATTTTGGCATTTCTTTCGTACAACAAAAATTTAAAAAGTTAAGATCTAGGTATAAGTTTGCGGACGGCAACGCCGCTATGAAAGTAACAATACCTCATTTTTTTTTTTTTAAAGTTGATCTTATAAAAATGCTCAGGAGGCTCTATAGTGAAAATATCAAATTTAAGGAATTTCACTGATTTCCACAACAATGGGAAATGTGGAGTTTAGCAATTTCTACTTTTTCAATTTCAAGGAAAAAAGTAGGCTGTTGTACAACAATGTTAGGTTCATTAATTCCTGTGACCTTTATCATAAGAATAATTTCTCTACTAGTTTGTTCTGTACATCAGTTTCTTATGAAAATAATCTCAAGTATTTGTTAAGATTATGTAAATGAAGACAGGCTTAACATTAGACCTTTAACCTTCTGAAACTATTGTATGTAAATGGTAAATGTTTGATAACTGATAAAGTCCTGTATTTAGTAATTTTGTTCAGAAGAAAACGATGGACCTTTAGTGTCTAAAGGCCTCAACAGACGGTAGGATTTAGTTGTACAGCACTATTTAGAGAAAAGATGTACAATTTTCAAAGCTATACAACACTTGCATTCAGACGGTAATTCTACACTGTAAGAATCATCTGAGGTTTTCCCTAAAAAGGACCTTTACATTGATCCTTCACATACTTTTACTCACTAAATACTTTTTTCGCCATGAGTAATGATTGAAACACCTCCATTTTAAATATATATACATGTATATATATTTATTTTTTTTTTAATGTGAAGCCTGACCGAGACTCAAACCTGGGACCCTCGGAATACCGTACTGCGGCTCTGCTGACTAAGCTATCTGACCGCCTACAAACTACCTCCCCTCCCCTAATTAGAGAACAATTCAATACCTTGACATAATTATTTTCGGAATAATTTGGGATTCGAACATAACACAACTTTGGGTCTCCTGAAGAGTTTTTCAACATCATTTTTACCCCATCTTACTACTATGTTTACCTTTTAGCCCTAATTGTCCTGGAATTTCATTCATTACACCCATTATCAGGAGATAATTTGGTTATCTGTTACTTGTCATTGTGGGAGGTCTATAAAAATCGGTGCGACAAGATTTTCAAAATAGAACATGTCCTATCCCTTACATCTAGACATAAGGTTTCCGAAATCAAGAAATAGTAGCCTTCACAAATTAAGATTTGTCTGTACATCTTAGTTTTAATTGGTGTTGTACTTCAAAATCCTACCGTCTGTTGAGGCCTTAAGAATAATGAATCCAGGTGTAATTCAGTAACTTTCATCCTTGTTGATGAGAAACAATCAAAATAATTTCCATTTTGTTACAATTTACATGGTACTGTTTTTCATACAATTTTCCATGTCATCACAATCACCAAAGACTTAACTCAGCCTGCTTGCGAAGCCTGTAGGATCATAAGTCAAACTCTACTACCGTGAAATACTGCATTTTTTTATTTGAAGTCATTTTTTTCTGAACAAAATATTTATCGTTAATATAAATATGGCACTGGTCATGTAATTGGTCATTTCACAATTTTGTATGTGGTACCGGAGTGACTACGACAAGGGAGGAAACTTGAGTGACTACAGCAAATACTTGTACTTGATTCAAGGGACAGCAGCACAACTCTAAAATCATTGACATCTGAATGGTTTTGTTAAACACATTTTTTGTCCAAAAGAGGAGAAAAGCGACGAGAGAGAATCCACACTGTGTGGCGGTTAGACTTACAGAAATTAGCATACAAACCAAGAAAATATAAAGGCTAATTAGACCACTGATACATCAAGGAATACAGTCACTAGCATGGTCATCAAAGTAAATAAAGATGGTAAATAATGCAGTCAAATAAAGAACAGACTTTTAAACGAGAGTGTGATTATTCATGGACTAAAACCGAAGAATACTTACGGATCAGATCTACGTCTTCTTAAATCAGCCACTGCAATATTGCGGCACTGTTTCACACCAACCTCCAGCATGTTTGTTTTGTAGTTGTAGTTGAGGCTAAACAGGATCTCGCCTGTAATCGGAATGTTGCTGTATGCAATATCACCTGCATCGCTATAGTAACTGGCTAGACTTTCACGACTGTCCTGTTCAAGTTAATTTAAACAAGATATGTTTGTAAAACATGTATGCCCCCTATCAGCAGCCAATTAGTTATGTGAAAAGGTTATTATGCATGACTTCTGACCCAGTGATCAAACAATTAATAAGGGTTATCAAGTATCTACTGGTCATGACCTTAACCTTTGACCCCTTGACCCAAAACTCAATAGGGGTCATCTGCTGGTCACAACCAATCATCATACAAAGTTTGAAGTTCCTAGGCCTAAGCGTTTTTAGTTAATTGATCGGAAACCGTTTTAACATACAAGGTCAATGTGACCTTGACCTTTGACCCCTTGACCCCAAAATCAATAGGTCATCTGCTGGTCATGACCAATCACCATACCATGTTTGAAGTTCCTAGGCCAAAGGGTTCTTAAGTTATTGATTTGAAAGCATTATTACCTACAAGGTCAATGTGACCTTGCCCTTTGACCCCTTAACCCCAATATCAATAGGGGTCATTCTACTGGTCATGACCAATCATCATACCAAGTTTGAAGTTCCTAGGCCTTAGGGTTCTTAGTTATTGATTGGAAACCGTTTTTTACCTAAGAGGTTAATGTGACCTTGACCTTGACCCCTTGACCCTAAAATCAATAGGGGTCATCTACTGATCATGACCAATCACCATAACAAGTTTGAAGTCCCAGGCCTAAGGGTATTTTTGTTATTGATCGGAACCGTTTTTACCTACAAAGTCAATGTGACCTTGACCTTTGACCCCTTAACCCAAAATCAATAGGGGTCATCTGCTGGTCATGACCAATCACCATACCAAGTTTGAAGTTCCTAGGCCTAAGGGTTCTTTCGTTATTGATCGGAAATCGTTTTACCTACAAGGTCAATGTGACCTTGACCTTTGACCCCTTAACCCAAAAAATCAATAGGGGTCATCTGCTGGTCATGACCAGTCACCATATACCAAGTTTGAAGTTCCTAGGCCTAAGGGTTCTTTTGTTAATGATCAGAAACCGTTTTTACCCAAGAGGTCAATGTGACCTTGACCTTTGACTCCTTGGCCCCAAAAATCAATAGGGGTCATCTACTGATCATGACCATCACCATACCATGTTTGAAGTTCCTAGGCCAAAGGGTTCTTAAGTTATTGATTTGAAAGCATTATTACCTACAAAGGTCAATGTGACCTTGCCCTTTGACCCCTTAACCCCAATATCAATAGGGGTCATCTACTGGTCATGACCAATCATCATACCCAAGTTTGAAGTTCCTAGGCCTTAGGGTTCTTTAGTTATTGATTGGAAACCGTTTTTACCTAAGAGGTTATGTGACCTTGACCTTTGACCCCTTGACCCTAAAATCAATAGGGGTCATCTACTGATCATGACCAATCACCATATCAAGTTTGAAGTCTAGGCCTAAGGGTATTTTTGTTATTGATCGGAAACCGTTTTTACCTACAAAGTCAATGTGACCTTGACCTTTGACCCCTTAACCCCAAAATCAATAGGGGTCATCTGCTGGTCATGACCAATCACCATACCAAGTTTGAAGTTCCAGGCCTAAGGGTTCTTTCGTTATTGATCGGCAAATCGTTTTTACCTACAAGGTCAAATGTGACCTTGACCTTTGACCCCTTAACCCAAAAATCAATAGGGGTCATCTGCTGGTCATTGACCAGTCACCATACCAAGTTGAAGTTCCTAGGCCTAAGGGTTCTTTTGTTAATGATCAGAAACCGTTTTTTACCCAAGAGGTCAATGTGACCTTGACCTTTGACTCCTTGGCCCAAAATCAATAGGGGTCATCTACTGATCATGACCAATCACCCTACCAAGTTTAAGTTCCTAGGCCTTAAAGTTCTTTAGTTATTGATCAGAAACCATTATTGCTTACAAGGTCAATGTGACCTTGACCTTTGACTCCTTGACCCAAAATCATTAGGGGTCATCTACTGATCATGACCAATCACCATACCAAGTTTGAAAGTTCCTAGGCCTTAAAGTTCTTTAGTTATTGATTGGAAACCGTTTTTGCTTACAAGGTCAATGTGACCTTGACCTTTGACCCCTTGACCCCAATATCAATAGGGATCATCTACTGATCATGACCAATCACCATACCAAGTTTGAAGTTCCTAGGCCTTAAGGTTCTTTAGTTATTGATCGGAAACTGTTTTTGCTTACAAGGTCAATGTGACCTTGACCTTTGACCCTTTGACCCCAAAATCAATAGGGGTCATCTACTGGTCATGACCAATCACCATACCAAGTTTGAAGTTCCTAGGCCTTAAGGTTCTTTAGTTATTGATCGGAAACCGTTTTTGCTTACAAGGTCAATGTGACATTGACCTTTGACCCCTTGACCCCAAAATCAATAGGGGTCATCTACTGGTCATGACCAATCACCATACCAAGTTTGAAGTTCCTAGGCCTGAGGGTTCTTTAGTTATCACTCGGAAACCATTTGGTCTACGGACCGACGGACCGACGGACCGACGGACCGACAAGTGCAAAGCAATATACCCCCTTTTCTTCGAAATGGGGGCATAATAATTGTTAAACAAAATTTATGTTATAACAAATTTTGCAAAGTCTTGGTAAATGTATGAAAAAAGAAAACTTATATAGATACCAGTTACAAATATGTTTATTGCTGCCACATGCTCCTATCCAAAGGCAATGGCAAGGATGCAAGGGGAATAAGCTAGTTTTTTTCTTGCCATCTGCCACCATCTTGCTGGGTTACTAGTATCATATTTATTTTGTTTTGGCCCAAAAACAGCAGGAAATCATGTCAAACTTGCAGTACCTGAGGGGGCATTATAATCTTATTTGCATTTGGTTTGATAAAAAAAAAAGTTTTTACCATTATCCTGAGATGGGGAGAGGGGAGGGGCAGTTGTAGATACAACTGAATTTCATTTAACAAAATTTATACAAATACAACTCAATTTCAGGAGTGAGCAGTGCATATAATGTACATGAATTCTGGTAAAAACAAAGACATGGTAATCATTCAAGTACTTTTATACTTGAATGACAGACAGTGTGATTCCAAACTTCTACAAATATCCAAATTTCAAATATCTTTAAGAAAATATAAGATCTGAAATATTTTAAATATAATGCAACACACAATGGTCTTAAAATAAAAATGTAATTACAGAAACTAATATGTCAGGGTGCAGTTACTTTCGAGTGTGGTAGTAAAAACCTGTGCAATATAATATTTCACTGATAATGTAATTGCGTCATGTTGTAACACAGTTACATATTCATACATAAAACAAGAAACAGTAAATATTTATACAGTGGTAATAACCAGCAGATAGATATTGACAATACTGTCTACATATTTCCATATAACATAACAAATAATCAACATTTACCATTATATCTGCCAAATAAAGCATAAAAGCATGATCAACAAGGAACAGGTTTCAGCAAGGCCAAGCAAAAAAATATCCGTTTCTAGGTTTGTCACTGACACTTAAATTACCCAGTCATGCATTCTTAAGCTCAATAGTTTTTCTGAATTATTGGCACATCAATTAAATACAAAATATTACCTTCAGTTTTTAGTTGTATTAAAACATCTGTGATATTAGGCGACCTTCAACACATTTTTAGGACCCAAATTAAACTAAAAACAAGAATTTGTTTGATATGGCCTAATATGGAATTCCCCATGAAAACAAAGGCCTCGTAAAGTTACAAGATATAAGCTCTAAACTGAATAATATATGGTCAGTCTGGACAGCCTAAATCTTTATCTTATTAGTGCCATCTCTCTATTTGATTTTGTCAGACAGTACGACTAGCGTTATCGCCTCATGCATCAATACTGTTATTGTTCCCTTATTGTTCACAGACACGATATTACAAACAATATATGCATGCATGCAAACTTTCCAGACAGTGGTGAAACATTTCATATAATTTTTTTCTTTAGTTTTATTTTACTGATTGGGTTAATAAATTCATCTACAGTCTTAAAGAAACAAAGGCTCGCCCTTAAACAATACATTTCAAGCAAAATTAACTGCTCACAAAAACAAAATGGGTTAAACAGCATATTAAGCAACATATATAATTAATCAATTTATATACTATATAATCAATTTATATAAGTACTATTAAAGATAAGTGCTCCTGCAAATTTCTGCTTGAAATTGTATGATAAGTTAGATCAACTTCAATTATTTTTCTTTCATCTGTTTAAAATAAATCCAATTTCAAATTCCCCAGACTTCTGACAGTTACAGATCAATTCAATCTAAACTCGAACTGAAATGTCTATATTTCATTAAATATCACAAGTGGAAATTTCACACTACATTTGCGGACCTATCAACTGGTAGATTTCATTACTGATTTTTTTCTGGTATTATATAAATCTTATCAACTATTTTGCCATGTTCAAATTCATTGTTCATAATCTATATACATGTAATTTCATCTTATACATAAATTGGAAAAAGGAAACAATATTATGCAAAGTTCAAAATACCACAAAAAACCCAAATCAAATTTAAGCAATCTATAGAAATAACTAAGGTTTTTACTCTTGTCTAGCGCCTTAATAAAATTTGACCAAAATATGGTAATATCATTTTTTTTCTTCTTTTTTTTTTCTTGGTTTAAACATATTTATTTAAGCTCAATTGCAAAACATTAGTTCTTGCAACTTATACTGAACCCTCTGGACCCAACCAGTACTGGTGTCATATGAAGAAACATGGTCGTATCCGATTAGGGGTCATATCCATGATCCCTGGTCAGACACCTTAACCACTAGGCAACTTAGCCTTAGCGCTTCCCTTTTTCTGTCTTAATCAAGCATAAGAATTATATTCCTTTGAAGCTGACTCCACTAAGGTATTTTAACAAATGACACAACTGGAAATATATTTTCAAGATTCATGTACCATTTGATGGAGTTCTGGATAAAAAAATGTATTGACAATTTCATATTATTTGCTAACAACTCTGTTTCCACAAAATATTCATTGTAATTGCGAAAAATGACCTAAAACTGAAAAGCAATCAAATGCTATTAACTCAAATCTGGAGAAGAATAACACAAAAGTATGCTTTTCAAATTAATTATGAGTATATTTCTTTCGAATTAGTAGATGTACTGGCTGATCTTAAAATCAGCACTGGTTGTTTAGATAGATGGATAGAATTAACTGCCACCAGCAGGGTTAATAAGAAAATAAAATTTAAAGTTACGATTTCCAATACAAGCGTGTTAAATGACTTGTTGTGAGAGTTACAAATTTGTTAGAATCGTAACATCTGTATTATTATGTTAGTATATGTGTGTTAATGATGATGAACCCAATGTCTTAATGATAATGATGCCAATGCCGAACACAATCCAAAATGGTGAACAGTTTAAGCTAAATGCTAAGTAATGGTTATTATTTGAATATCAACTTACGCCAAAAACTGAGAGTAGGTTACTGCGATTTTGTTTTTGAACTCTCGCCACAATATTGTCAATGTCCTCATCTTCCTGTTTGCCAACAACAACAGCCACAATAACAACAAACATTTATGACAATAACAACAAAGGTATTGCAAGCAAAAAATAAAACAACAACATATAATGGTGTATATGATACATTACATTTAGGATGACCATCAAAATGAAAGGCTCATGTGAATTGTGTTACTTGATTTTCAAATTAATCATTACTATTAAAATAGTCATTACTGACTAAATGCTTTTATAAATCATTGAAGTTGTATTGTTTGACAGAGTGGAACAGCTTAGTACTGCTAACATGATAAGCTTGATCTATATTAGTCAGGCACCTAAAGTCTTCCTCCACCAGTAAAGCCGGATAGTTCCTTTATGACCTGTACAGTATTGTTGCAACATAAAACCAAATAAAACTCTATATTGAAATATATATAATATTTTTCATTTATATTAAAGTCACAACACAATAATTAGGTAACATGACAAACTTAATGTCAAGTACTCATGTAGGAGTACATGTAGTTAAATTTTCCCTCCCATGTCTTATTTAAGGCACAAGCTGGCCCCTGAGTAGAACTATCAGCTTACTGGCTAAATAATTAATTCTCATATGAAAAAGTCCCTCTGGTAGGTCAAGTGGTTGAAGGTCTGCAAACTTTACCACATTGCCAAACAGAGCCCCTGTCTCCAAGTAGAGAAGGCTTAAACTGTTACAAAGTATCTTACAAGCTCTTTAAAAATGATTTGCCCCAAAAAGCATGGCAATTAAGCTAAAAACTTTTTTTTGCATGATGATACATGTATCAAAATTTCTTCAAATTGGTTTAAATGTCTTGGATAGAAATAAAGATACCTTTCATTTTGATGGTAAAAAATCATAATCTAAAACACATTTGACTAGCTAGGGGAAAACTACAGTATAAACAAGATGCACAAAGTCTATTAATTAAAGAAAATGAAAATGTCTGGGACGTGAATGTTCCGAAAGGTAGTTTTTAGTTTAGGATCACTTGAATAGCACAGATAAAGTTGCCATTACAACCTTATTCACAACACAATCATGCATGCTTAAAAAGTAGTCCAATACATTTGAGCCGTGTCACGACAAAACCAACATAGTGCGTTTGCGACCAGCATGGATCCAGACCAGCCTGCGCATCCGCGCAGTCTGATACGGATCGATGCTGTTCACTGAATACCAACCCTATTACAAGTAGAGAAACTGATAGCGAACAGCATGGATCCTGAACAGACTGCGCGTATGCGCAGGCTGGTCTGGATCCATGCTGGTCGCAAACCCATTATGTTGGTTTTGTCATGACACGGCTCATTTCTTGATTGAAACGTTATATTGGACCATGTCTTTCACAATTATGCTTATAAGAATATAATCATTGAAGGATTTTATCATCTAATAACCACAACTTTTATACAGTCAGTGTCATTATTACTGACAATTATGCAAAACTAGCATCTTGCATATATATCACATTTTTTTTACTTTAGATGATGGCCATTCAAGACAGTAGTGAAAAAGAGCTTTATATAATGTACATCTTTGTCAGATAAAACAAGCTTTTTTTAAACAGCAAATAATACTATTATACATGTATAAACAAACTAGGATGACAATTTCAAGCACCAAAGATCAATATTTATAATCCATCTCTCACACATTTGGGACAGTGATAATGGAAAAGTAACATTACTGAAGAAAGAACCAAAGAGAATCAAAAAGTGCTTAAAAGTATAAATGATTTCTTTTTCAAAAAAATAAGATTTTTCTAAAAGAAAAACAACAACAAATAATATAAACAAAAAACATATGGCAATGCCATGAAACCAGGTTTTCAAACTGGAAATTAATTTTTTATTTTTGGTAACAGTGACCTTGACCTTGTCATTAGGAAGCCGAAAAGCACTCTACATAAGCTTAATGCAATTAGAACAATTTTGATTCAAAATCCCCTAAATCTAGTTATTAATTGAATTCCACCTGTTTTAACGTCTGCCCATACACACGACCACCCACCATTCCCTTATCTAATAACGAGGATTTTCACCATTAAAAACCTGGCTTAAACAACCTAGAGAGCAAAGTTCTACAATCACAAACATTACATATGTCATACCAAACAAAAAAACCCCATCTTTTCTCATCTATACTTACATCAGTCACGTTAGATAATGTGGAAGGAATCGAGGACTGGGAGTAGCTGCTGTCTGTCCGTCTGTGTTCAGGAGTTGTCCCCCTTGAACCGCCACTAACATTACCACTATCGTCCTGGCTTATGGAGCATTCTGATATCGTCCTGGGAGAGTCTCTTGGCGAGTCTCTGGCACTAGCCAATTTTTCTGCAAAGTTCAAATCATATTTTTACTCATTTTTTCTGAATGATATCTTAATATAAAAAGTAATAAAAAATAATATGTAAAAGAAGAAGTGTTGCATGCAAATATAAAATAACAACTAGCAAATACAAAATAACAACTAGCTAATGAAAAAGAATATTCTAAGTTTAAGTTAGCGAAGGATTTACAACAATCAAATTGTCATTTAAACTTAATTAATTAATTTTTTTTATTTATTTCTAGGACATTGTTTACAAAAAAACAATGACTTTTTTATATTTGTTTCGAACAAATGTTAAACACTCTGTTACACCAGCTTTTTTTAATTAAAACAAAAGTTGAAAGAGGAAAGGGAATTCCTTTTAGATGTTGATCTATGAAATCTTTTCAAAGAGAATAATTATAATGAGAGATGAGGACAGCTAAATTCATGAAAATTGACAACAACAATTCTGAGGTGGAAAGATTGTAGAAACTAGGCATTTCAGGTTTTCTACGCATTTAGGAAAGATATAGAAGATATAGGCCCTACGTTCATTGACCTCAATATCTACTTGTCTTGTAAGCTATATTCTATTATCACCCCTATACTTACCAAATAATTGCAAATATGATTAGTTTTATTCCCTTAATGAACAACACAGCAGTTCGCATTTTAGAAAGGATCATGATATTATTCATGGATCGAAAAGTTTCTCAGAAATTCCCAAGTCATAATCCCTACTTTAAATTATATCGGCACAATATTTATGAACACCAAAACAATTGTTCAACCCAAATTTGCAAGTCAGGTTTGCTTACAAGAAAAGCCAAAATGACATTCGTTTTCAACACAACAATGCTATGTTACAGTTGATTTTCTGTTTATACATGTAGTAAAGGCCTAAATTTTTGAATATTTATAATGACTTCTTGGCCAATGCACATCATGCAACAATGTATGTTTGTTTGTTTCATTTTACGCCTTTTCCCAACAGTATTTCAGTCATATAGGGCCATCCTTAAAAAAATGTTTGTTTGCAGTAACCCGACCCAGAATTTTCAAGGTGGGTAGGTAGGTCGATTTTTTTTTTTTTATTGAACTGTACTCCCAAATAAACATGGAATTTCAAAATGCTGGACAATATATGCTTTGATAATCTGGTAACAATTAATAAATTGATAACTAAATTCTAATTTAATAAGACCTACATTTTATTTCTTCTATTAACCTTTAAAAGAATGAAAACAAAGCACAAGGCATAATTTTTTGATTCAAAAAAATTTTTTTTTATGCAGACCATGAAAAAAAATTTTGAGTAGGGGCAAATTTTGTGAGTCGGTTGCGTTACTGCAAACAAACATTTTTTTAAGGATGGCCTAGGCGGGTAGTTTCCTAACCATCGTTCCTGGAGAGTTTATAACATTCAGTACTAGACTACCCAGAGTCCTCCGCGCTAATCATGCAACAATGAAATTGATAATAAATAAAAGTTTTTGTTTTTTTTTCAGAACAATTTTGTCAATGAAAAGTAAAATAATCAATTTTCACAAAAAACAAATCTAACATGTTAATAAGTCAATCAACAAAAACAGCTTAACAAATTTTCAATGCTAATAATCTATTTCAATTATTTTCTTAACAGCTGAAAATGATGATAAAATTCATGATTACAACAAATACAATAACAACATGATAATAACGAAATTGATAATATTTTACATCCTTGCATGATGAAAGATATTCTAGCTTGCAAATGAAAAAAATCTTTTCACTCCATCTTCAAATGACTGTATTATTTATGGTACAATAGCATTAGGCGGTAACTTTAAATATTAAAGCTGCATGCCTCAAAATAAGCCAAAATATTTCAAGAAGATGAAACTTGAGAAAAATGTGCTAAGATTTTCACTTTTTCAGATCAAGATTCAAGTAATAATTTACATGTAATGTGCCATTTATGACTGACTTTGCAGTATTTATCACCATATTTCTACTGTGTTACAAACACAGTAAGTGTTTAATCTTTGCTTATTTTGACCCCTTTTTAGTAATTTACCTAATACTGCAAGTGCTGTTTGCAATGTGTAAATTATTTTCTTTGTTCACTTCATAATATTTTGCTTTTAAAAACAGTTTTAACATTTTCATGAAAATAAGCATGAATCTGGAGGTACCGTTATGTGCTGCTTTAAATTGACAATATATACAACAATTGTAACATACTATTATTGGTCCTGTAGATCATGATGCCACCAGTAAAGTGCTACTTTGGGCAAGAACACATTGGCCAGATTTCCATTTACTTAGTAAGTATTTTCATAAGTAAAAAACAACTTATATTAAATAAGGTTTACACAATCAGTTAACTGATCTTCCATCATCAGTGCATATAAAACTGGCCAGTAATTTAGTCAAAATAATTATATTGACATGCCAAAGGTAAATTCTGAGATATTTTCATTCTGGGTCAGAATCTTGCTTCTACAAGGGGAGATTATTGCCCAGCCACAAAATTTTAGCACAGTATACTGTCGCGCAGTACAATTAGTTGGACTTATAAAGCCCAGCAGTATGACAACACTAAGCATTCATAGCAACATTCAGTTGTTTTAGTTCTAAGTTTAATAAGTTTATTCTTGAAAATAATACAAGTATAATTATGCAGGATATAATAATGTTGGTTATTTTGATATTGAAATCCCTTAAACTTTAAATGGACTATTCCAAAACTTAGCGCCGCACAAATGCATTGTGCAAATCCAGCAGATTTAGATATAATTTATAGCATATTATAGGATAGTCTATGCATCAGCATTTTTATATCCATCAGCTCCCTTAAGAGCAGGGACAAAACAGCTTTCGGTAATTATGAATTACAATATTCCAGTCCTTCTTAATGATATATCCTATATCAATAGACAATTTTCTTATTGATTTCATGTCACCACGTCTCACATGAGTCCTATCTTGACCTTATAATTGTCTTTTTCAATATTAGGTTATTATTTAGCCAAGGTCGTCATTTTCCAATCTCCGCGAGAAGAATATCATCATTGACGTACAAGACTTTAATCATGATTATAATGCCGTTGGGTGAAAATATTGGCAGAGTTATGTGTGCCTGAAATACAACATACTACCCCTCATATCAATATGATGTTTCACATATTGTCTTTGAAAGCTTTTGTTTTGTGTGTAAACATCAAATATAATAATTAATTGCGGATATAATTTAATGTGTAGGCGGCTTGTTTACATTCAAACAAACTGACATAATAATTTCAGACAGATATATAAATATTCGATGTATAAAGGAGTAAATCACCGTAACTCAGACTCCTGTTTCAAATAATAATATAGAAAGGCCATGATGTGACCTTGCAATATCCTAATATTTAAACACCTATTCACAAAGGTTACAAAATCAGGTTTAATAGCATTTTTTTCTCTTTCAAACTATGAAAGATCATTGATGATCTAATTGCTTTGGCTGATTTTTATTTCTTTGAGATTTAAAAACACCTTTTAAACAATTCTGTTATGTTTAAAAATTTTCTTTTTAACTTTTTATTACCTTTCATTATCAATTAATCAAAATTGTAGGTTAAAAGAATACTGATAGCTCAATTGCCAATTCTTGCAACTTATATCAATCACTTTCCAGTCCGCTTCCTGGAACCAACCAGTACATACATGGTCGTGACTCAAATAGTGGTGAAACGCATGATCCCTGGGTTGAGAGGCAGACACCTTAACCACTAGACCACTGCTCCCCTTGATGTTTGCTATGAGCTAGAATAAATAGTTAATTCACAGTGGCATCACCTTGTTAACTCACAGTGGCATCACTTTGTTATCTCACTATGGCATCACTTTGTTATCTCACAGTGGCATCACTTTGTTAACTCACAGTGGCATCACTTTGTTAACTCACAGTGGCATCACTTTGTTAACTCACAGTGGCATCACTTTGTTAAATTACAGTGGCATCACTTTGTTAACTCACAGTGGCATCACTTTGTTAACTCACAGTGGCATCACCTTGTTAGCTCACAGTGGCATCACTTTGTTAACTCACAGTGGCATCATTTTGTTTACTCACAGTGGCATCACTTTGTTTACTCACACAGTGGCATCACTTTGTTAACTCACAGTGGCATCACTTTGTTAACTCACAGTGGTATCATTTTGTTAACTCACAGTGGCATCACTTTGTTTACTCACACAGTGGCATCATTTTGTAAACTCACAGTGGCATCACTTTGTTAACTCACAGTGGCATCACTTTGTTAACTCACAGTGGCATCACTTTTTTTTTAATCTCAAAATGGCATCACTTTGTTAACTCACAGTGGCATCACTTTGTTAACTCACAGTGGCATCACTTTGTTAACTCACAGTGGTATCATTTTGTTAACTCACACAGTGGCATCACTTTGTTAACTCACAGTGGCATCACCTTGTTAGCTCACAGTGGCATCACTTTGTTAACTCACAGTGGCATCACTTTTTTTTTAATCTCACAGTGGCATCACTTTGTTATCTCACAGTGGCATCACCTTGTTAACTCACAGTAGCATCACTTTGTTAACTCACAGTGGCATCACTTTGTTAACTCACAGTGGCATCACTTTGTTAACTCACAGTGGCATCACTTTTTTTTTAATCTCAAAATGGCATCACTTTTTTTTTATCTCACAATGGCATCACTTTGTTTACTCACACAGTGGCATCACTTTGTTAACTCACAGTGACATCACTTTGTTAACTCACAGTGGCATCACTTTGTTAACTCCACACAGTGGCATCACTTTGTTAACTCACAGTGGCATCACTTTTTTTTTATCTCACAATGGCATCACTTTGTTTTCTCACACAGTGGCATCACTTTGTTAACTCACAGTGGCATCACTTTGTTAACTCACAGTGGCATCACTTTTTTTTATCTCACAATGGCATCACTTTCGTAACTCACAGTGGCATCACTTAGTTAACTCACAGTGGCATCCATTTGTTAACTCACAGTGGCATCTCCTTGTTAACTCACAGTGGCATCACTTTGTGCCAATTTGCCATATAAATCCTTTGAATATAAGCACAAACTTCCTATGCCATCAGCAAGAGCTAAACATATTAGCCTGCAATCTGACAAGATCTATTCTGTTGGCTGCACAATTTTGATCATTAAGATATCTTTTAACAATGAACTAAATTCAAAGAATAGCAGAGAAAAACCTAATAATGATCATGATCAAGTTTTCAGTGATCTCAAACAAAAAGTTATGATTGTATTTTGAGAATGAACATTTATTTGTTTCACAGACTAATAATCTGTGACAGTTCTGTCATTTAATTTGTGTTTTTATTCCTCAGAGTTGCTCAAATTAATAGTGTCGTTAAAAAAACCCTCACTTTTAATGATAATGCAAAACAATTTTCTTTAATAATATTTTGTAATCATTTTAACTTAGAATCTAATATCTCCATAACAAAAAATATTCATGGAAATTTTTAATTTCATTAATTTTCAGGTCTGAATTTGTTTGTTTTTCTGAGTGTGTGGTGTTTTTTTAATGCAGATTTCAACACATTTTTTGGTCATTTTTGGGGGCCAATTAAATCTACTTGCTCTCCCTGATAACTAACCAGTAATTACCAATTTTCCAGTAAGTGACCGACTACTAATCCAACATAATATCTAAATCAGTGGTGAGAAACAAATTCTTTAAATTAGTAAAGACTAAATGACATAGATTGTCACAGAAAAGTTATGCTATGCCCGAAGATTGAATCAGTGACCCTGGCCTGGATTACGAATATGACGTTTTTTTCTGACTGGGCAGATTTCAAGCGTGAGTGCCCTAAGGTTAAATCAGGCATAGATGACCATATATTTTATAACAAAAATGTATAATATATATGAAAAGTGATTAATACATATAATCATATAAACTGGTATATGTTTTGCTTTCAATCTTGAATACAACAACTTCAAACATAATAGTGCGGTGAAATAAACATATCCTAAGCCAAAGCTGAAGCGACTTCAAAGCACTATAATAAAGCATATTCTGCAACATGCAAAATAATTATGGATTAAACAGTCAAAAACAAACAAATATGAGATAAAGGTTTAAAATAAAATCTACATTACAAGCAAAACAAAGTTTTAATTAATTAAACATTAAAAAAGCAACAATAATTAGAAAAGGGTTTAAAATAAATTCTACATTTAAAAGCAAAGCAATTATTAATAAGACAGAACATCGAAGATTTTATAAGTATAACTGTTACAGAAAATCACACATACAGAAATTCTTGTATTATTTAAGAGATGGTTCTTAACCTGTTGAATTTATGTAACAGATTTGTCCTACTTTGAACTTGAAAATTAACTTCACTCTAATTTTAAGGGAACTTTAAATACCAAAATACAAAAACTGAGCTAGTCTATAACTTACAGTGTAGAGCCAGAGAGTCAGACAGCACAGATGTATGACAGCACGAGAGTGAATGTGCATGTGACAGAATGAATGTGTAATGGCATGAATGTGTGACAACATGGATGTGTGACAGCATAAATTTGTGCAGCATGTGAGTGACAACATGGATGTAAGACAGCATGAATGTGTGACAACATGGATGTGTGACAGCATGAGTTTGTAACAGCATGGATGTGAAACAGCATGGATGTGTGACAGCATGAATTTGTGACAGCATGGATGTGTGACAACATGGATGTGTGACAGCATGAATGTGTGACAACATGAATGTGTGACAGCATGAATTTGTGACAGCATGGATGTGTAACAGCATGGATGTGTGACAACATGGATGTGTGACAGCATGAATTTGTGACAGCATGGATGTGTGACAACATGGATGTGTGACAGCATGAATGTGTGACAGCATGGATGTGTGACAGCATGAATTTGTGACAGCATGGATGTGTGACAGCATGGATGTGTGACAGCATGAATGTGTGACAGCATGGAATTGTGACAGCATGAATGTGACAACATGAATGTGTGACAGCATGAATGTATGACAGCATTGATGTGTGACAGCATGAATGTGTACAGCATGGAATTGTGACAGCATGGAATTGTGACAGCATGAATGTGACAACATGAATGTGTGACAGCATGAATGTGGGACAGCATAAATTTGTGACAGCATGAATGTGTGACAGCATGAATGTATGACAGCATTGATGTGTGACAGCATGAATGTGTGACAGCATGAATGTATGACAGCATTGATGTGTGACAACATGAATGTGTGACAGCATGAATGTATGACAGCATTGATGTGTGACAGCACAAGCACAGATGTGTGACAGCACAAGTGTGGATGTGTGACAGCATGGATGTGTGACAGCACAAGCATGGATGTGTGACAGCAAGGTTGTGCAGGCTGGCCTGGCTCCATGCACACTGGTGGCGAAGGCTAATCACTTTTGGTTCCAGCAGTATTAATGAAATATACATTGTCTGAAACAATCTGATGAATTTTGAAAAGTTTAACCCTTCCTTACCATGTTAATGCATATATCATACTAGCACTGCTTTATTATTATGGAACTAACAATCATATTAAGGCTCATAATTTTGTTTAATTAATTAGTGACAACACGTCTGGAAAAGACTTCATGATGACAAGCAAGCAGGCAGTGGCTCTAAAAACTGCAGATTTTCAAAGAGTTAAATAATTTGCAAATATCAACATTTAAAAGATGAAAATGAAGAGAAAACAATATAAGTGTTGTTTTGTTTTTTTGTGCTGATAATCATTATTTAATACATAATTCATCTGGCATCTGCATTTACATCACAGTCTGAATAAATAAAGTTTAAATCTAATTAAGTGTATTCAAAGAATAGTTTCATAAGCTATTTGGATAACAACAAAGCATTGATGAAGAGAATACTGACTCTATGCAATACTAGTATTGACAAGACTCTATAATAATAGTTATAACTGTTGGCTGCTATAATTTTAATATGAGTATGTCCTTAAAGTAACAACAATCAGTTGATACAAAGCTTGTCAAGTCCATTACATTACAGCAGGATCCAGAATCTTGCTTTGTATTCTTTTGTTTACAAAAACTGCAACTGTCGGAGCATTTGAATTAAAAACAGAAGTTGTAGGATACACATCTAGAAATGGTAGGACTCAATTTCAAAGAAAACAACCAGAAAACAAAGTAATTATTTGACAAGGACTTTACAAAAGTGTCACTGTGACCTTGACCTTTGTTTTAATGACCTTTAAATTACAGTGTAATAGGGGTCATAAAATTTTAATAGGCAATGTCAGTACCAAATTTCATAAACCTAAGCTTAATTCTTTTCAAGTTATTGTACAGACAAGGATTTTCCATTAAGTGAAACTGTGACCTTGACCTTTGACATAATGCCCCTTCATTCAATGTAAGTAATCTTCTTGCCATGGCCATCTTCACTTTTAAATATGAAAACAGCAAATCTAAAATTAAGATTTTTTAGCTGATTTCAATGTGGGATAGGGACAGACAGACAGACAGACAGACAGACAGACAGACAGACAAGTCCAAAACCATAATACTATGGCTGTTACTTTGGGAAAATAAGAACAACTTAAAATTTGTTCTGAAAAAATACTGTACTATGTCATAAATGAAGATACATTTTTTTCTCTTAACTTTTGATTGATAATTTGGTCAGTGCCAGAAGATGGATATGCATGCAATGATTATCAAATGAAAATTACTGCTAATTGGATTGCAACTTTAATGAATATGAATAAATACTGTAGCTCACCAATGAATAGGCATATTTATAATCTAAATCATTTTCAGATGAATATCCATAACTATTATCAGTTTTGCATGCCAATGAGAATATTATGATATAATAAAATTATGCATATTCTATTCTAACTTATAACCATTGTGCACTTAATATACCCACTCGGGTCTTTGACCTCAATAATATGATATATCTCTTTAACTAAAATCTACATATTAAAATGCATAATTATACAGAATACATAGGATTTAACATAAAACATGCATGAATAGAAATAGGTTAACATAATTATGCAATAGGTAGAAACAGAGATACAATGCCCGAAACCCAGAAGTAGAGCATTATTCTAGTGTCCCATGCTTTTGCTATGCAAAAAAAATTGTGTCTGGTTAGTAGTTTCAAAGGTCAAACCCATCACCCCATTCGTGAATGCAAAATATTTTTTATGCCAAGCATTGATACCTGTTCTAGGAGAGTCCACATAAACTTTAGGGTTGATTGTTGTAAATTCAGGGCTGCTAGGGCCAGAGGAAGAGGTTTTCTTGATTCGAGGGGGTTTATCTGGGGGTTTGAAAAACTGAAGATCCTTTGACATTGCTGGTGGTGTAATTTTGCCACCCATGTCAACATTAAGCTCAATCTCAGTTGTGTATCTTTTCTGTGACTGCTGCATGTTTCGTATTTCAAATCTAATCTCATCAGAGCTAAGTCTTTCTTTATTTGTACTTTCCTGTTTCATGGAATTTTCAACATTTTTATCATGAAAAACATCATCCTTAACATCTTGTGGTAGTTCAACAGTTAAACCACCTTGTAAATTCAAGCATATGGAAGATGTTTCTTGTGACAAGTTTTCAAGAACAGGGTCATGGAGCTCTGAGATACTATGGCATGAAGCTCTGGAATCATTTATGCTTGTTTTCAGCTCAGATTGGTTCTGATTATTAACAACCTCTAGAATCTGCTCCTTGTCTTCATCTGGCAAACTATGGCAAGAATTTCTAGCTGATGCTGAAACTTCATTGTCAGTGACTTGTCTGACATCAGTCTGATTATCAGTAACACTATTGTCTAGCAGTCCAGTATCTGTTAAACTACTTATGTCACTTAAAGTATGGCAAAATACATTGCTATCATTTATACTAGCATTGTTATGGTTAGTTTGTTCATTTACTTGTGTATTTATATGAATATCACCTTGAGATTCAATATCTGTTAAACTACTTATGTCACTTAAAGTATGGCAGAAAACAGTGCTGTCATTGATACTAGCACCTTTTTGGTCATTAACTGTACTATTGAGTATTTTTTCTTCTACATGCTCATCTTCATTTATTAAAGTTTTCACACTACTCTCTGGCGAATCAATGATTTCTGTCTTTACTTCATCTAATTTTCCACTCATAGCTTGATCACTATGCTCACTTTTTGTTTCTAGACATAACCTTTTCTCAAAGGTTTCTTCTGTATTATGAATTTCTGCTTTTGATACACCAGAATTCATACCTACCTCAAAGTCTCTATCTTCATTTGTTATAACATGATCTACAGGAGAATCTATTATTTCCTCTTCCCATTCAGTTTTCACATCTTCTGTGACTAAGGCAGTTACAGCATTTACTTCATCCTTTTGACTATTCCCTTCATTTGTGGCTTTATCCAATTCATCAATATCTAGCATATCTGCCTCATGTCGTTCCAGTGCTAACCAATGATCATGTACCTTTTTATACTTATCACGTTTAACATCATCCTTTTTACTTGTTATTACTGATGAACTTCCACCTCCTTTAACTAAATTCTTCATTCTTTGTTCAATATCTCTCGCCTTTAGAAATATTTTTCCTTTTACCTGAGGTTTAATTTCATCTTCTGGTACTCGATCATCACATCCAGTTGCAGATTCCTTTTCAATAGTGGTTCTTGTGGTATCATATTGCTTTGCTTTTTCTGTTCTTTCAATATCTCTTGGTTCTGTATTGAATGTTTTTCTTGCAACTTTCAGAGATCTTTGTAATTCATTGCTGTTTTTGATGTCTCCTCTAGCATCATCATCATCAGAATCACTTATTTCATCATCAACCTCTTCAATGACACTAAGCATGTCAGAATCTGAGCTGTCTGGAGATGTATCATGATGTATGTATTTCCTGACTTGAGATAATGAGTCAGCAACTGGTACACTGTCTTTTGCCTCTCCTCCATCAAGATAATCTTTTGCCCCTTCAACTATAGAGTCAAAGTCATCTTGATTTGGAGAAGAAGTACCATGTTGGTTTTCATTTGATTTTTGAACAACTCCATGCTGAATACCTAGATAAGCATATTCTTTACTAAGAGCCTGACTGCTTTGTTGTACTAAAATATTTTCTTTAAAGTTCTGTTCCAAACTTGCAAGTAGATCTGCATCAAACTCAATAATTTCAGTACTTTGATCTACCAAATCACCTTGTTGCTCTAGAAGAATATCAAGAGTATTTTGAGTTTCCAGTTTTGCTTTATTTTTCAATGGTTTTGAATTTTTTTGTTCATCTTTTGTGTTAATCGAACTTGGATGCAGATCAAGAGTTTCAGTTTTTATATCCTCATTTTTTTCTCTTTCCCCATCAAAATCACTTGCTAATTTCTGTGTTAAATTATCAATTTCATCTTTTATTTGTAGCCCTTTAGTAGCAGTAGTAACTGTGTATTTGTCTCCATTCTTATGTGATTCACTGTTACTGTTTTCTGGCCTTGTACCATTTTTATTTTTCGATTCTTCAGTAAATTTCAATGCATCTAAGTATTCCCTCTCTAAATTAATAACTTGCTGACTTCCATCTACAAAATCACCTTGCTCATCTAACAACAAGTCTAATGAATCCATGCTTTTCATTTCTTTTTTCTTTAAAGAACTAATCTCCTTTTGTGGTACATTTTTATCACTCTCTATCATTTTTTCATGACTGTCAATTTGATCTTCATTTTCATCATCTATCAAGTCATCAGCTGAATCACCATCAATATTATCATCTGAAATATAAGCAAACCTGTTATATTTTCCAGACCGTTTCTCATACATTTCTTGTGGAAATGGTGATATTGGTGTCAAGCTAAACCCAACATCAGAGTCCCCTTCAGATGCTCTAACTGGCCGCTTAGTATTAACATACAAGTGAGCTCTTGCCATTTCACAATAAAATCTTCTATAAACAGCTTTAAAAAGGCTTTTCCTTTAAAAACAAAACAAAATAAAATAGTATCAACTTAGGAAGTCTTTTATAAGGGTATTTTCAGACTCTTCAATAGACTTTTTACTGTTTTCATCCCTATTAAAAACCCGGCATTTTTTTCAACAGATCTAGTTCTTCACTTATATTTTTTATTTTCAGGCATGATTCCCCTTTTTTAAATTTGCAGTTCTGTTACAATTTTGGTGAAGGGACCTATTATTATATTTTCTTTATACATACATCCCTCTACTTTTCTAAACTTTCAAAAATTTGTCTCAATAAAAAAATTGCTATACTTGACGCATGAGCATTTAATTATTGGACCCCCCCCCTCTTTTCACCCTACCCCCCTCTACCCTGGGTTTTCCCTGCTCATACATGTCAGCCCATAGAAAATTTTCTAACAAATAAAAGTATTTTAAAAACTTAGTTTTTAAATTTATTTAATATTATAAAAGTTGTAAAAAAACACATCTAAAGACCCTTTTATATATTCAAAATTAGGCAGTAACAGGTTAACTCCTTATATAATTTAATAGGAGTTAACCTGTTACTGCACTATGATGATGGTATGCACACATACAGACAGACAGACAGAAGAAAGGTCAAAGGCAAAAATTTGATAATTGACATAACTAATTAAGGAGATCATGAAATTATAACAGTTACTAACACCATGAAAAGACTATATTTTATTTGCCAATAGTGCCTAATGCACAGTGGCACCAATCAGCCATAATTTGGAAAGAGAAATTAAAAAATAAAAAACTAAATTATATCAGATATCAATAAAATCATTTTAATTTCAGAGTGAACAAAAAAAGTGCTTGATAAAAGTAAGTGGAATGAAATCAAAAACATGTGTGACAGAGACTGCAAAACTGCAAAAAAAATGAACTGTTTGTTTTGTGTGTAAAGATTTTAACTTTCTTGCACTGATGAAGTACTGGACAACAATTAATGACTATAGAGAATAGAAATGTACACGGAAATAAATACTTAATACATTCATGCTTGAATATTACATGATACATTAAGCAAACTTACAGAATATACTGCCTAATTTACCAGAAATAAATGTTGCAAAGTTTCAGAATCTCCTGAGATTTCAGTCTTATGATCTGAGATACGGGTCAGATATCCCCCTTACCCTTAACCTGCTGAATCTGTGTAATGGATTTGCCCTGCTATGAATTTAAAATGGTCCATTCAAAATTTAAGGAATTTGAGTTTCAATTAAAATACAAGAAACATGGCAATGCCATAAAACCATGTTTTTCTTTATCAATTTTTACCATTGCAGAATGTTTTGTTGGAGTTAGAATACTAAAACAAGCAACGACCAATGTAACTATGTGCAGTGTAGATGAAAAATAAAGGAGAAACAAAAGAAATAAGCAAGCAGGTTGAAAAATTGTTATTATATCAACCTTGATACTAAGAGGACCGCAGACCCTAAAGCAATCCCAAGCCAGGTCATCACATATTATTTTTAGCTTGCTATACATCAAGATTTTTTTTTAAATATCTCACTTTTTACTCCTCTTATTAAACAATTTTCTAATTTTAGTAACAGTGACCTTGACCTTGGTCTATGGGGCTCAAAAGCCATCCAAAGTGAGGGTTACAATTAGGAATGCTATACAACAAGTTGAATTTAAATATCTCATTCTTGACTGGAAACTTCAAATTTTTAATGACATTGACCTTGACCCTAAGGGGGCCAAAAAGTAACCCCAAACAAGGTCTTTACATAAGCGTCCTATACACCTAATATAATTCAGCTAAATCAATCTGAACTTAAGTTATTGACTTTGAACCATCTTGTTTGAAGCATGTCTGTCCTCCTGCCTGCTTTACCCCTGGCCAGGCAAAGATTAAAATCATTTTTTATTCCAGCAGGTTAAGGGTTATATAAATGGATAACCACTCATCAAAACATGCCTGAATAACTGTTAAATGCTTCATTTAATATGTATAAAATCACGTTATATAAAAATAACAATTAAGACCATGGCTGCACCAACATCATGGTGACATGGACCACTGCAAGCATTCTTTATGTCATATTTATTTATTTATTAAGACCGGGTTGGACCAATCCCCAAACATAACAGAAAGATTTTCTAGTTGATTATGCTTTATTACAATCATACAAAGATTGTATCTTTGCATATTAAATGAAGACTGAATGTAGTACATTTGTACTTTTTCCAAGAGACGGAAATATTCAATTATAACTTTATAATGTTTTGTTGTTTTTTTTTCTTCATTATTTTCAATATACCACTTTAACAGAGTTCTTTCAAGATTGTCATATCTATTCTGATGTAATAATTTGTGAAAAATAGAAGTAATTTTATGACGTTTTCCATGAAATTGACAGACAATTGGAAAGACACAAGAGGCAAAACAACAACAACAACAGCAACTTTTCCATTAATGATAACAGCCCATATGAATATAGATAGATGACTGAATGAGATTCCATGCAATAAATCAATACTAACAGTCTATATGTAAAAACAGAGCTTAGTTCTTTGAAGCTTTAATTTTTCATATCCATATCTGTACAGCTATAATTGTACCATTCCCGATAGAATTATTTTACCTTTAGTAGAATTTGAATTAACAGCACTACCATATCATTTCATATTCCATATTAAGATAAGACCAATTAGTCCAATTGCAAGTTATGTTTTTGCTGCTTATATAATGCTTTTGAATCGAACTTGAAACATCGGCACTTAACAACCAAACACATTAAGAGAATTGTTTATGAGGATTTAAGTGTTTTAAGCACCCGAGTAATTAGTCTGATATGGCATGTCACTTTTACCATATAAACTTATCACATGATAAAATACATATTTCTTTATACTGTATACATATATTATACATAATGATAATTGAGCCTTGTCACGACAAAACCAACATAATGGGTTTGCGACCAGCATGGATCCAGACCAGCCTGCGCATCCGCGCAGTCTGATCAGGATCCATGCTGTTCGCTATTAGTTTCTCTACTTGTTATAGGGTTGGTAAGCAAACAGCATGGATCCTGATCAGACTGCGCGGATGCACAGGCTGGTCTGGATCCATGCTGGTCGCAAACCCATTATGTTGGTTTTGTCATGACACGGCTCATATGTTATCAACCTCTTGACATAAAGAAATGAAGGGTTAAGCCATTTTAAATATGGCACATTTAAAGAAACTTATTTTGCTGTTTTTGCCCATCAGCTGGCTTTGTAAAAGACGTGATATAAGGAATCTTATCTTTGTTATCATTTTTAACCGACTTACATATAACTTCTACAAAAAATGTTATAATTTAGCTTGTCACAGATTCGCTTTTATATAAAAATTCAAGAGCAGATTAACGAAGCTTAAGACTTGTTTTATGAAATGACAATGTGAGAGTGTTAGCCTTTAGCCTGCTGAAACCGAAAGTGATTTGCCTTCGCCCTTTGCCAACAGTATAGAACCTGAGGTGAGCCTGCATACCTGCCTTAAATCTGACCAGGCTCTTTATTGCTGGTAGCTCTTTATTCAAAAATTTTGATATCAAAATGTCTAAAACTTTTAAAAGCCAGTTCCAAAGTCAAAGCCATTATAAAATTCAGCAAGTTAAGGTTTTCGCTTCCATATATTATAGTGTCTGCAGCTAGCTTACTAGAGAGTCGAGACCATGTGGTAATATTGGTTTAGTGATTAGGCGGAAATGTTCAAGAGAATTATTTGTTTTGTTGTTGCTTAAAGATTATAACATATATTTATATAAATATACATAAAATATTATAAACCATCCCTGTTAGACAGAATGCTCATTAAAGGCATTCTTTGAATATGAAATACCTTCTAATATTGGACACATTTGCTGTTTGTTACCTGAAACAATGTTTGCAACTCAAGCAAATAATTTTTTTCAAATTACTCTGCATTACCAATTCTAAATTAACAGTTCAATTAAAATCATTTTTTCAATTTTAAATATTTTCTGTTCCATTAAAATAATATTTAATTTTGTCAATTCTAAATAATTTTCAGTTCCATTAAAATATTATTATTTAATTTTGTCAATTCTAAATAATTTTCTATTTCAATAAAAGCATAAAAATATATCCCCTATGATATAAAAGTTTTTAAAAAATTAAAATAAACTGTCAGCTCAAATAAAAACTTACTCCTTCATTACATGTTAGCCAATCAGCCATTAGTTTAGTACTGTGAACTTTATAAAAATACATGTATATATGACTTGAAAACTGAAGAGATATATTGTTATAAATAAAGTAACATGTTGAAATGGGTACAAGATAATTAGAGTTGTCATTAAGAGGTGACTCAGGAGGCCAAAATGACAAGTTTTTGGGCTGCTTTAAAACTTACAATACTCTTTATTTTACATGATAACACTTTTAATAAGCCTTCTTGAAATAATCTTAATGACAACCCTGATTAGATAGGAGAAATTTCCTAACACTATTTAAACAAGGTAACATTTCACTCTTTTCTGTATATAGGGGAAAAATGATTCTAGCTAATAAACTATCAGTTACAAAATATATATCACTTACTTCTATTTGGTGACAGGGACATCTTAGCCATTGCACCAAGCTGACCAACTGTTTTTGATATCCGTCTAAACTGAACTTTTGAAATCTCTTCTACGACCACATCTTCTTTGTCCGTATCCCCTTTTGATTTTGCACTGACAGTGGATGAAGATGGACTCTGTTCTAATATTGTATCTGGTCGAGTTTTTAATCGTGATAATGAATCAGTATCCGAGTCTGGATTACTCGAAAAACTGCATCTGTTTAATGTTGGAGAAGGATGTGATGAGGGGAGAGAATCCATTGAGAATGAATAAGGTGACCCCGTTCTTTGAGTATGTCCTTCGTCATCTTTTGACGAGATAAGTTTTAATTGTTCGTTATCACTGGAAGGTC